ACCCCTAATATATACACAGTATATATATATATATATATATATATATACATACATACACACACACACTTTATGTATATATATACACACACTATATATATATATATATATATATATATACTGTATATAAATAACCCACAACCATTACAATACAATACACATTACAATAAAGACCATCCCAGTATACGTTGACTATTTTACATATTATCCGTGCAGCGTTTGTTAAATTATTTCTCTGAAGCGCACACGTGCCACTGACATCGATCTCCTGCCCCTAAGCAAGAAGGAGGAAGAGAGAAAGCGTGCCAACATGACTTACCCGGTACCGCGGTCAAAATAAAAGCACCTGCGTGACTCCGAATTCTTTCTGTCCGGAGCGTGTGGTGCAGTTCTTGAATCGGGGCTGTGCAGCAACTCGTGGCCAAATAAGGCTACCGCACACGGAAGTCGGTGACTTCCAGAGGTGGGTACCTTTATTTAACCCAAACTGAACACACGTACCCACAATTACAAGGACCTTGCATGCACACAGCATTACCTAGACACTTTTGAAAAAAAGAAGGGGCTACAACCTGCTTTTCCCCACTCTTCCTCTCGCGAGAGCGCTAACATATCGTTCAGGGTAAAAAAAGAGAAGTGCCAGGTCCCTGCATGTAACGGTCGTTACAGCATGTAAAACAAAACTGAAAGTAAAGTACAAAAAGGTGGTGGATTACAAACACTTTACAACACCTGAAATGAACATTTCTGCTATGATTTTGGTGAATATTCACATAACCTTTTACCCTTGTTACACTATCAATAAACAATATCCTTGACAAAATGGCGATTCCAGCTTTAAATCACTTTCACTTTCATTTACAGACAGGAAATGATCCGCTTCCTGTCAAACGCAGAAGCGTTCTGAGCAGAAATGGACGCCGACTCACGCAGGGGCGTGGCGGACCATTTTTGGAGATTTAATCCATGTAATGTAATAATAAACGATAAGCGAAAGGAGACAAGCTCCCGCCGCCACCTAATTCTGTCATAACGCACATTCTGCATTATATACTGATATGGACTGGGTGATGTGTTAGGACCAAAAGGATGCCACATGGTTTGATGGAAATGAAAATTATCAACCTACAAAGAGCTGAATTCAAAGAGACCCCGAAAATCAAAGTGAAAAAATGATGCGGCAGGCTAGTCCATTTTGCCAAAATTTCACTGCAGCAACTCAAAATCGTACTCAGTAGTTTGTATGGCCCCCACGTGCTTGTATGCATGCCTGACAATGTCGGGGCTGCTCCTAATGAGACCATGGATGGTGTCCTGGGGGGATCTCCTCCCAGATCTGGACCAGGGCATCACTGAGCTCCTGAACAGTCTGAGGTGCAACCTGGCGGTGTTGGAAGGACCGAAACACAATGTCCCAGAGGTGTTGTATTGGATTTAGGTCAGGGGAGCATGGGGGGCAATCAACGGTATCCATTCCTTCATCCTCCAGGAACTGCCTGCATATTTTCGCCACATGAGGCTGGGCATCGTCGTGCACCAGGTTGAACCCAGGACCCACGATGAGTCCAAGGATTATATTTCGATACCTAATGGCAGTCAAGGTGCCGTTGTCTAGCCTGTAGAGGTCTGTGCGTCCCTCCATGGATATGCCTCCCCAGACCATCACTGACTAACCACCAAACCGGTCATGCTGAACAATGTGACAGGCAGCATAATGTTCTCCGCAGCTTCTCCAGACCCTTTCATGTCTGTCACATGTGCTCAGGGTGAACCTGCTCTCATCTGTGAAAAGCACAAGGGTGCCAGTATCGGACCTGCCAATTCTGGTATTCTACGGCAAATGCCAATCGAGCTCCACGGTGCTGGGCAGTGAGCACAGGGCCCACCAGAGGACGTTGGGCCCTCAGGCAACCCTCATGAAGTCTGTTTCTGATTGTTTGGCCAGAGACATTCACACCAGTGGCCTGCTGGAGGTCATTTTTGGCTCTGGCAGTGCTCATCCTGTTCCTCCTTGCACAAAGGAGCAGATACTGGTCCTGCTGATAGGTTAAGGACCTTCTACAGCCCTGTCCAGCTCTCCTAGAGTAACTGCCTGTCTCCTAGAATCTCCTCCATGCCCTTGAGACTGTGCTGGGGGACACAGCAAACCTTCTGGCAATAACACGTATTGATGTGCCATACAGGAAGAGTTGGACTAATTGTGCAACCTCTGTAGGGTCCAGGTATCGCCTCATGCTACCAGTAGTGACACTGACTGTAGCCAAATGCAAAACTAGTGAAAAAACAGTTAGAAAAGATTAGGACGGAAAAATGTCAGTGGCTCCCACTTGTTAAACCATTCCTGTCTTGGGGGTCGTCTCATTGTTGCCCCTCTAGTGCACCTGTTGTTAATTTCATTAACACCAAAGCAGCTGAAACTGATTAACAACCCCCTCTGCTACTTAACTGACCAGATGAATATCCAAGAAGTTTAGTTTACTTGATGCTATACTCTGATTAATAAGTGTTCCTTTAATTTTTTTGAGCAGTGTATTATTAAGTCTAGGGGTTAGAGCAACGTAATAAGAAAAAGGGAGAAAAATCAACATTACAGACAAACCACATAATTTTAATCAAGACAGCTATTTATTCACAAAGAATGGGAAGCTTAAAACAAACTTCAGGATAGGAAAAGGCCAAAGTAACAAACCAAGCAAGGCTAACTATTTGGAGTAGAACTAATTAACTTACTTCAAAACAAAAAGACAAATTAACAACAGAAACTGCCCTCACTCCCTGGGGATATTTTTTGTACGTGGATTACTCTTTTAGCCGGATGTAATTGGCATGGTCCTGGATCTGTTGGTTTTTCGAAACTCTTGCTGGATGTACTGTCATATAGCAGCACATCCAAATCCTCAAACCTGCTTGGAGCATGGAAATCCGTTCAGTCATGGCCTCGCCATTCATGGATGAGCGACCAATTGCAATCCGTGCACAGATAATAAGAAGGGAATTTCAGATCGAGAGGGTTTTGCGCGATTGGCAAGATCCTTTATTGTTGTCGCGGATGATATTCTTTTCGAAAGATACCGCTTCAGCCGAGATGGAATATTATATCTTACAGGTTTATTAGCTCCGTATAGTAAAAGTCCAGCTAGGCAAAGTCGGGCTCACAGCCACACAGACAATGTGCGTCGCCTTGAGATATTTTGCAAGCGGCACTTTTTTGTATACTGTAGGCGATGCAGAAAATATATCAGAGTACAATTTGCCAGGCAATTCACAATTGTTTTTCCCGGACACCTGCGAGTGCAGGCAATTAAAGAGGCGTACGTGTTATGCCATTGCAGGTAATGTATACGCAATAAAATTACAGTTCTTGTCACGGCTGGGCACCGGAAGATAAGGAGGACGCAATAGCGGATCAGTCCAAGGAAAAAAAGGCTTTATTGTCCAAAAAGAACAAGGGGATACAACAGGCAGGGGTCAGGCGATCGGCGACGGTATCCAGGGGGAATAGGCAGGGCTCGGAATCCGGGGAAAGGCAGGAGGTCAGGCGATCGGCGTCGGCAGTAAGAGGGCTTGGCTAAGAATCGGTGGTCGGGAAAAACCAGAACAGAGGTCAGGGAAACAGGCAGGCAGGGAATAAACGCTCGAAATTCGCACTGAAGGCTGAAGATCTCGCGTCTGGCTGACGTGTCAGAAGCGAATAAAAAGGCTCTCAATCACTCCGATCGGTATCAACTGGGCGAGGAGGGCATACGGTAACCGGTCCTGCCGGTTCTCGGGACCAGTGTGGAAAAAGCGCTCCGGCTGCTGCTCGACTCTCGTCTAGGGAAACCCTGAGGGCGTGGCAGGGGAACCCTGCGTGATGTCATAGGGGCTTCCCCTGAGCGATCCATGACAGTTCTATAAAGAATTTAAAAATCACACTAATATTCTCAATACCCAGAATTTCCAAAGGATTTGTCTGCCGTCTTATTAGCTTGTAGGAATGTTTTATAAATATTTAAGATTTCCTAAATTTCATATACATAAAATGAACACACACATACATATATACACACACACACACACACACACACAGTATATTACCAGTTTGAAGTATATTTTTGTCCTTCACTTAAACTTGTTCCCATGTCCTGCATGATTATGCTTCTATTTCATCTGTAATTATGACAATAAGATGATAATGAAGCATTGGAAACATAATACTAAATTCAGGATAAATACAATAACTAAAAACTACTTACACAATTAATTTTCGCAGCCGTCTTTTCTGGTTTGGGCCGCTTTTGATGCGTTTCCTTTAGTACATACTAAAGGCCCTACCAACAGTCATCCTAATATAATGTCAACAGATTAAGTTCGAGTTCTGAGGTACCACTGTATATGGACTTTTCAAGCAGTGGGGCCCCCGCAATCATTTCGGATGAATGGATCCAGCTAGACCAGGGGTGCCCAATACATCAATTGCGATCTACTGGTCGATCGTAAAGGTAGTGTGGGTAGATCGATCGTATGCCATAAAAAATAGAGGATGGATGATGCGTTCAACTGCGCCAGCTGCTGCAAAACTCCTGCCGATTCGCCTAATTAGCCTCTAATTAATTTCTACTAAACTTAAGAAAGGGTATAAAAATGAATGGGGGTGCTGGACCAAGTAAGAAGCCATAACCGACCACTTGGAATGGGAGGAGGACTTTTTTTCACTATGTCATATTCGAAGTGCGTTTGCCTCATCTGTCAGTCTACCATTGGTACTCCGAAGAAGGGAACTGTGTAGCAGCATTTTCGGACTGTTCATAAAAACTACGACATTAGCTTCCCTCCGAAAAGCAAGCTGAGAAATACAAAGGTGAAGGAACTAAAATCCCAGTTCAATTCAAAAATACTTTATTTATCCCAAAGGATAATAACAATATTATATTATTATTATTATCCATCCATATTATATTATTATTATTATCCACTCATCATCACCTACCGCTTGTCTGGGGTTCGGGTCACGGGGGTAGCAGCTTCAAGAGAGATACCCAGACCTCCCTCTCCCCAGCTACCTCTACCAGCTCCTCGGGGAGGACGCCGAGGCGTTCCCAGGCCAGCTGAGAGATATAATCCCTCCAGCGTGTCCTGGGTCTGCCCCGGGGCCTCCTCCCTGTAGGACATGCACGGAAAACCTCTCCGGGTAGCCGCCCAGGAGGCATCCGCACCAGGTGTCCAAACCACCTCAACTGGCTCCTTTCGATGTGAAGAAGCAGCGGTTCTACTCTGAGGCCCTCCTGGATATCCGAACTTCTCACCCTATCCCTAAGGGAGAGCCCAGACACCCTGCGGAGAAAATTGTTGGTACCCTTCGGTCAATGAAAGAAAAACTCACAATGGTCACAGAAATAACTTTAATCTGACAAAAGTAATAATAAATAAAATTTCTATGAAATTTAACCAATGAAAGTCAGACATTGCTTTTCAACCATGCTTCAACAGAGTTATTTAAAAAAATAAACTCATGGAACAGGCCTGGACAAAAATGATGGTACCGCTAACTTAATATTTTGTTGCACAACCAGCTACTAAATTAAACTTACGGCAGTTCCTCATCCATAGTAGACCTCTGGTCAGAGAGGGACACAGGAGCAGGTAGTGCAGTTGCGTTGAACTTTAATGACGGTATCTGACATAAATCAGCAACAGCAAGGAACATGTCAGTATACACTACATTAATAATGTAAATATTATTAACATCAGCATTAGCGGTTAGCATTAGTACCAACGTGGTACGCTAGCATTTAACATCATGTCTTACAATCATGATTGTAAGACATGATGTTAAATGCTAGCGTACCACTCATACTCAT